AGGTTCTACCCTAGCCAGCCAGCAGCCACCTTCCAACATCTGCCAAGTTTGCTATTTTTCCTTTAGTCGTATGTTTCTAGCATCTCTTCGGCAAGTTCCTTCAGCCAGTCGTTGTTCTCCAACTCCAATCGTTGTTGCTTCTGCCAACTTGGTGTTGCTGCTTCAGCTGCTAATTCCTTCTACCGTAGGTTTTCCCGTATGACTCCTTCAGGCGATGTTCGTTAAGTCGCAATTCTCCAACCGGTATAATTTCTTCAGCCACTGCTTCCCGCTAATTCCTTTTGTCCCACTGCTTCCAACTAATACAATTCCTTCAACCGTTGCTTCTAGTCGTTAATTCCAGCTGCTAATCCCAAGAGACCTTCTAGCCAGACAAGGTTTCCCTAGTGTCGCCGATCCTCCCTGCAGATTCAAGCAGCCACAAGATCCTCAACTCTCGTGGTGCATCGGTTCTAGTGCAGACACCATTTTTGCAAGGAGTCTAACAGTTGTCTAGCACCGGTCTTTCCTGCAATTGTATTCGTTTCTCGTGATCCTACCAGAATTCATTGATGACTCAGAACCACAAACCTAACCACACTCGAGATAAATATCGGAATCTTCACAGCGATTCGTCATACAAACATTCGGTCAAATCCTCTTATACCAAAGGTCTCGAGGCAACGGTCGAGCCCAACATGGCTCAACGGACTTCTACTCGGAACATCCCGGGATCCTCTGAATCCCTGAAAAACCAGATGAAGCAATTGATCAAGCTTCTCAGAGTCAATCAAATCTCTACAGGTCCATCTATCTCCCACGTGCTCTGGAAATGATACCGTCATAGTTGTCGATGGCTCTTATAGTTTCATTGCTAGTAAAGCATCGGTTGTACTAACAACTGTGAAGTCAGTTTTACATATTTCTCATTTGCAATGTAACTTACTTTTTATTAGCAAGTTGGCAAATGATATTGATTGTGTTACTAATTTCTCTTATTATAATTGCGTTTTTCAAGATCATCATTCAGGGATGATGATTGGAATTACTAAAAGGGTAGTAGGGCTCTACCACTTCCAAGAGGATAGCATAGAGAGTAAGGATAAACTTCTCAAGAGTTGTAGCTTATCTCGAGTTATTGAATGTCTCATTAAGTTATTGCATTGTCGTTTAGGTCATCCTAGTTTACAGTATTTAAAAAATTTGTATCATTGAATGTTTTCTACTAAAAACCTTTCTAATTTCAATTGTGAGACATGTCAGTTCGCTGAACACCATCGGATCCATTACCCACCCCACACTTACACATATTTCGCTTCTTTCTCTCTCATTCACAGTGACTTATAGGAACCCTCTTGCACTTCCAGTTACACCAATAAAAGGTTGCTCTAGACTTTGATTGATGACCGCATTCAAATAACATGGGTCAGCATTTTAAAAGACAAATTTGAGGTTGCTAACACCTTTCAAAACTTCTACACGTTTAATTTAACACAATCAAAAACTCCTATTCAAATCTTTAGAACCGAGAATGGCCATGAGTTTTTCAACTCAATTTTCAGTGAATTCTTTGTGAGTAAGGGTATCCTCCCTTATAGCTCGTGTACTAACACTCTTCAATAAAATAGAATAGTTGAGAGAAAAAGCTGTTATCTCATTGACGTTGCTCGCTTCATTATGTTTCAACCCAATGTTCTGAAACAATGTCATTCTCACTGCCACATATCCATAAATAGTCCCCTCTAAAATTCACAAGTTTTGAATCCCCCTAGTTGTCCTAATGTCTTGCTTCCCTGCCAATCAGATCTTCACCACCTTAGACCACAAGATTTTTGGGTGCACTACTTTTGTTTAGAGCACTGCCCCCAATCGGAGAAAACTTGATCCTAAGTCCATAAAATGTATCTTCTATGCGTACTCCATCACTCAAAAGGGGTATCGGAGCCTTGATCCTAACACTAACAAAATCTATATGAGTGTTGATCTCCTTCTTTGGAAGTGTTCCATATTTTTCCAGCTCGACCCCAAGTGAGGGGAAGCTTGAGTTCTTAGCACTATCCCTTATCCTCTTCAATGTATGTTCCCCCCAGTGTTCCTGCCACTGAGTCTCCTATTCCGATAAGTGTGACATCCGTTCAGTCCCTGATTCGGTACGTGAACCATTCTCTCCTCTCACTATCCATGTCTACACTCGGCGCACTCATTCTGATGCTCCTACTTTGGAACCCGCTACCTCCTTACAGGTTCTTGACTCCACTCCGGGCGACATCCTCAACACGACCCCTCCTATGAACGAGGAGGTGAGTTCTCCGAGCAAAATATGCAATAAAAAATGTTGCCTCTATCCGATGACAAAATATGTCTTTCCACAATTTATCACCGACCTACAAAGTATTTGCTACTGCCCTGACGTACTATCAGATCCTAGCTACTATTGAGGTTGTTATTGCTGACCCAGCGTAGAAAACGACAATAATGAAGGAGATAAGTGTCCTTTAGCGAACCATACGTGGGGCATTGTAGGGCGTCGATGGATTTTTAACACCAAGTTCAACTCTGATGGATCCTTTGAATGCAACAAGGCATGGTTGGTCACCAACGGATACTTACAAACCTATGGAGTTGACTGTGAGGAGATATTTGTGCCAGTGGTCAAATTAAATACTATTCGGGTCCTGTCGTCCCTTGAGGTGAATATAGATTGGCCTTCATTCTAGCTGGAAGTCAAGAATGTATTCTTGAATAGAGAGCTTACAAAAGAGGTAATGTGGCTTTAACTACTACCTCCAGAGGGCAAGTGTGCAGACTGCGAAAGCCCCTCTATGGGTTCAAGCAGTCCCCAAGGGTCTCATTCTGAAAGTTCACAAAGGTTGTTAGGGGCTATGGTTTTACTCAGGCTCAATCAGACCACACTCTCTTCTTCTAACATTCCTCCAATGTCCAGATAGCTATCCTTATTGTTTATGTTGACGAAATTATTTGTACAAGTAATGATCTCCTAGCACTAGAGGCTTTGAAAGTCATTCTTGTTAAGTCCTTTGAAATGAATTACTTGGGATCTCTCTGGTACTTTTTAAACATGAAAGTGGCTTGATCATCTCAAAGAATTTTCCTATCTCAGCATAAATATGTGGTAGATCTCTTGACTGAACAACCTTCTTCTGTGCAAACCTGTGGTTGTCCCTTTGAATCCCAATGAAAAATTATCTGACATTCCCAATGATGTGTCTGTCAACAAGACTCACTACTAGCGCCTTGTAGAGAAACTCATCTACCTTGCCCATACTCGCCCCGAGATATGCCACACAATTCGTATAGTGAGTCAATTCATGCATGACCCCTATGAGCACCATCTTCAAATTGTCCACCAGATTCTCCACTATTTAAAATATATATCGGGCTCAGATTTGTTTTTCTCTCGTCACACCTCTCAGTCTATTGTTGTTTATACAGATATTGATTAGGTCGGGTCTGTTCATGATTGACGTTTCACCTCAGGATATTGCTCATTTGTAGAGGAAAACCTTGTCACATGGAAAAACAAAAAATAGTCTGTGGTTACCCGGAGCAATGCTGAAGCTAAATTCTAGTTCAACTTCTTGGGGGTCTATGAAGCCCTCTGACTACATATCATGCTCTGTGAACTTCATATGCCAACCTGCTTTTCATTATAGCTATTATGTGATAATAAGATCGCTATCAGCATTACTCACAATCCAATCCAGCATAATCTTACCGAACATGTGGAGATTGACAGATACTTATTTAAAAGAAAGATTGAGTCCAGAGAAATTTGTATTCCTCTTGTGCCCTCCAGTAGTCAACTAGCAGATATCATCAGCAAGAATTTTCCTCGTCCTTTGTTTGATGACTTCAAATCTAAGTTTAACATGATTGATATATATGCTTCAACTTGAGGGGGTGTATTGAATTTATTAGATTTATTGGTTTTCCATAGTCGTTACTATTTATTAATTACCTTTATTCTCCATTATGTAGTTTCTTTTTTTCGTTATTCTGATTTCATTTCTTTGATTGTATTTTTATTTATTTCTTTATTTGATTCCATTGTAAGGGTTTAAATGCCCCTCTTTGTATCAATATGAATCATGTTGCTTTAGTGACAAATTATGAGTATTTATAGTTATACTAATCAATTATAATTATGTATCTCCATAATTTATATGTAATAATTGATATAGTAATCAATACAAACTAAGTGTGGCGAAACACTGACGACTAAAGCAAGTATATGTGTCTTATCATTAGTATATGGAACTGACTTTTGTATATCGATCCCAAAGGGAGCGAACTGAATTCTAATTTGAAAAAGTTCTAGTTTGCTATTTCGGTCCTAGCCAAAATGGTCAAAGTTTTTGAAGTTAAGAAAGGTTTATATCCTAAATTCTTTTTAGAAACAAATCTACCTGAGCAAGAAAGATGAAGTTCTTAAAGAATTTCAAGATTTAAGAGATTCCCTCCTTGAATTGGTCTAGTGGTATATAGAATCAAGAAAGTGATCTAAGTTCAGTGCCAAACAGGAGCTAATTCTTCCTTATCCTCTTCCATAAGTCTAAGGAAGATCGGTTGTCACGAGTTTAGTTTCCTAAATCGCATGATTAAACCAAAAAAAAATTTCCCTAAATGTTTGAATA